TTAAACAAACACATTTAATGTACCAGACTAACATATAACCTCAAGTGATGTCAGCGTCGGCTAGATCTGAAAACTGAAAACCAAAACAAAACAACTCTGGCATTGTGGACTTTGACAGAAGTGAGTGTAACAGACCCCCTGTAACGCCCGCTCAGTTGGATTGTGGGTAATGTAGTCACCAGGTTTTGACAAAGACAAGGAATGCATAGAATGAGAATAATGAGCTCTCTGTTTCTGATGCGTCGATTTGGATCCTTTTTTATAAACTGTCCATCCTGTGTCCGACTACGTTATCCTGTAGAAGTGCAACGATAATTCAGCAGAATGCTCTTTTAATGCACATACAATGTTATGCGACATGAATTTAATGCTACTGTTGCGTTGACCCGCACAGACAGGACTCAGTGGGTCTTGGGTTTGTCAAACCCTTGATTTCTGTTACTAGTGTATCTAGGATATAAATCAGATAAAGAAAAACCTTTAGCAAGCCTGTTCCTTATTATAGTAAGAGCAGATAAATGTAATAGAGGTTAAAATGGAATCAACTGTTCATACTGTGATACATGTTTTATACTCACAATCTGCCCAAAGGAACAAGTTCTATCCTAGTGTACGTCATCAAGTCACATGGAAAGCTTATCTGCATTTGGTAGTCGATATAATCCAAAGATTTATTTACTACCTTTGTTCTCTTTTTCATGTAGCCTTCATAGTCTTTTCCCCTGTCAGCCCATTAAGCATGCATATAGAAAGATGATTGTTCTAATCACGTTCTTTTGTCTCCACATGCTGCAGTTCAGGCTGGAATAGATTCTCTTCCAGTGACGGTTAATGCTGCAGTGGTTGCACAACAGGGATCGCATTTCAATTATTTTAAGAGAAATAGAGAGCGTGCAAGGCTCTGTGTGCTTGTGGCTGAGATGTGAGTTGGGGGAATTTGGCTTGTTAAATGTAAGAATCTCTGTGCTCATTGTTTCCCGGTCAAGATATCGATACCAAACCACCGTCTAAACTCCCCCGGAGTTTTACCCTCATTTCATCTTTGACTACAGCTCAGCGTTGGTGGGCCATCAGACAGAGGATTCCACGTCCTCACAATATTAGGGGATTTATATTCAAGCTGCCTTCTGTTCCTGAACGTTAAAGAATCAACAATTTTCTCGTTTTCCTTTTAGTAAGTTAAGGAAAGGGCTTAAGTGAGATGATCTCCTTCAGCGGTGCAGTCACTACTGGTGCTCTGGCATCTCTGTAAATCTTTAATGTGTCACCTGTATGATGCACTATGATGTTAAACTCTGCACTGTGATCTTCAACAACGGATTGAGCAACTGTCTCCCCACACATTTAGATAATGTTATTTAATGTTGGTGCCGGGTTGTCGGCAAACCTGATAATGGCTCCTGTTATATGTTAGTCTCTTAAAGTTAGATGTGTTTGTTTAATTTTGATTATGGGACGACGGGTGGGTTCCAGGAGGGGCTGCTTTCCCACGGGACAGGTCGTGTCTGTAGCAGCTGAATGCTGTTAAACAGACCTGAGTCACACATAGTGATCTTAGCATTAAACTTCTTTCTCGACAGATGGGTGTGGTTTACTACATCAGAACAATTCAGATGGTATTTGCTAATCTGGAAACCACAGGAAAAGTTAAAGAATGTTGTCAGATGCACTGCTGATTGCCTGAATGGCTTTGCCGGATGCTGAAAGACAAACCTCACACATCTGGTTGTCTCTGCTGGTTAAGAGTTCTTATTTCAAATACCACTTGATCCAGGCTCAGAGCCATTCGCTGTGGGTGAACTCGAATATGGCAGTAAACCGCAAGCGAGGAAATAATGTAAAGCGATGGTCTCGTCGAAGCTGTTGTGACACCCGATCAGACCTGAGAGGTGGCTGTGATACAGTGCAGGGTCTAAGTCGGCAGAATAGATTTAACTAAAATTAATTAGGATAATTCCCCTCGTGTTTAATTCTAACTGTGCTGAGTTTTTTTATGTAGTGTCATGTATCAGTGTCAATGTTGACCCTCCAAATTGCATGAGAAGTAATACTTTTGCCGAGACAAATTTGCCCCACCTCCTGTATAAACGGGACAAGGTGGAATGGGGGGGGGTTGGAGGTCCGACTGACAGAGAGTGAGCGAGAACAAAGTGAATCAGAGAATTTAAACATTATTTTGTGATTGTTTCACTATAGTTACGTTATAAAGCAGGAATAAACACAGCCACACTTCTGTGCAAACCCTTTGTGTGAATCCAGCCAAATTGCATACATCTGTCTGTTCTGCTGTGTGCGTGTGTGCGTGTGTGTGTGTGTGTAGCCCTGCGCTCAGACACACAGGCCTGAAACTGGATGCACATATAATAGGCTTCTGAAATTCCCAATTTCCATTTATAAATATATAAAATAAAATCAGATAACAGCCTGTCTGCTTCATTTTCAAATTGAAGTACAGGCCCCCTAAGCCACCACGATAAACACCCCGCCTCTACTAGCAACTGTGTAAAATGAACACAGTGGTGGCAGTTTGCTTTAAGTTCAGTGTAAAGGGGCTTAAATCAAAAAGCCACCTTGGAGGAGGGTCAAAACGCCGGCAGTTTGCCGCGATCTCTGTGCAAAAGGGGATATTGTTTTTATGAGTTGCAAGAGAATTACCGCTGCTATTAGTGCTGTAACTTTTACTAATGTTTGTTTAAGTTGAGCTTCATTTCAAGTAAAATTTCAGGAGCTGGAGTATATATTGAATAATACTCTGACATACCTAATAAATGTACATGCTTTTAAAATATGCATCTAAGTGCTACTGACCCCACTGGATGGTCACTATCAGCACCTCGAAAGCTAAACAATAAGTCAGTTTCCGTCAACCGAGTCACATTTTGCTGCCTTTTAAAAGCACTTAAATTTTTTTTTTTATTATCTCAGCTCAAGTAAAAGAAAAGTTTTCTTTAGTGCCAGAGTCTCTGGTTTCATCTTTATGGGAGACAAGTCTATGGGTGGAACAGTATGACTAAGAAGTTACTCTATGTGGAGGACTTGTTTATTTCCACTTAACTTACTGGACAGTGGCTTCTCAAAATCTGTGATTTAATGCTTTATTGTGTCACCGGCGGTACAAGTACTGTGTTTGTTAAGGCTGTGAGTCAGGGATGGGGAGGATGGCTCAGTCTGCGGGCAGGGGCCAGACTCTGTGGCTCTCAACCTGGAGGAGTGTGTCTGGATAGAGCTGCAGTAAATCACCTTTGCTGTTTTAGAATAACTTACGTTGGATACTAATTTACAAGTGACAAAGTTCATCACATGGACGACCCACACTCCATCCCTTTGCTGTTTTAGAATAACTTACGTTGGATACTAATTTACAAGTGACAAAGTTCATCACATGGACGACCCACGTTCCAAACAGAGCACCTTGGCTCAGTCTGGTCTACTCTTTTCTGCAGTGAAAGAAACATGAAAAAATAGCCATATGTAAATACAATGAAGATGTAATGTAATAATGGGCCATAGTATCCTCCCTGTCTGACAACAGCTACATCTACTGTGCTTTAATGCCAAGGCTGGACTCACGTTAAACTGTTTGTCTTGTTCTGGACGTACTCTTATGTCCCATTGGATCCTCTAAAGAATGATTCCCCATTTGTTTAAATATGTTATGCATTATTATAAAAAAAAAAAAATCTATTTAAGGACAGATGGACATACAGAAACATATTATCTGGAAAAAACAAATCTATTGCCATTCAATTAATCTGTTTAGAGCACGTTAAAAGAAGAGTCCCAGGGATTCCTTTGTACACGAGATCCAGTTGTGGACTAGTTCATTCATTACGTCAATGGTCTGGCTTCAATACCATCTACACTTTGTGCACATCTGTCTGATTTCTCTTTATATGTTTGGAGAAAATCTGTATCCAAGCAACATTTATGTTGTTCAAAATATTATTTCTAGTGAAACTGGGACTGAAAAAGACAAACTGTGCTTGTGTTCAATCAACTCAATACACACACTCATATCTAAGGTGGATCACTTTGAAAAATCGCCTCAGATCGTCTGATAGGAGTTGGCAAGTGAAGGATGGAAACTAGACCCTCTGTTTCTGACTGCGTCTCGTTTTCCACCACCTTCTTCTCTCCATATCTGCCCTTAATGAGAACTCCTGTGTCAGATTCAGAGCTCCAGCCAGCACTCTGGTAATTGCTTGAGAGACCTTGGATGAAAAACCTTCTCACATGCAGTATTTCCTGTTTGAGAAATGCTTGATTTGAGACTTTTGAGACTTTTTTTGTCTTTTATGAAAGGTGTTTTAGCAGCCACACACTGAGATAAGACATCAAGTGCGCCCACTATTCACAGCAGAAGGTTCTGGCGCTGCTCAGTGCACAGCTACTCTCTCTCCTCACTGACCTACAGCTTCATCTTTTTGGCGAAGTCTGCGTCTCCCCTGAAATCCTTTAGACATTAAATATATTTTAGAGCAGCTGCAAAGCCAAGAACCATTACTGCCGACAGAGAGAAGGCTGTCGTCCAACAGTAGACTAGAATCAACTCACTAATAGATCATGAACAAAGATCTGGGGAGAGAGGGGAAAAGATTCCCATTTCTCTGAGTGTGGTTTGGTTCTTTTGAAGCCTAATCAACTTGTCTTCAACCAAAAACCAATTAGATAAATTAGCCTCTAGGCTGAGCTTCAGTGCACAGCGGCTCACACTGTCATCACAGTAGCCTAAACAAAGAAAGACAGCTGACAAGTGACTGAAGAATGCAGAAATGTTTGAGCAAAAGGGGCACATGACCCTCGAGTCCAATTTGTACATCAGTTTGGCTTGAATGCAACTTTTGTTCAAACACAGTGAAACCAGAAAGAGCGAAGAGGAGCCAAGGAATAAAGCAAACCAATTTTTCAAAGCATAAGAAAAAGCTATGAATTCAATCATCTTAATGCATAAAACCTGAAGTTCACATTATGCTAACATGTTGATGTATTTCTTATTGCAGTGGCTGATTGGAGACAGAGACAGCCAGTGTGGGGTCATCTGCTCACGGACACAGGGGAAGCCAGTGTGCGGCTCGGATGGGCGGAGCTATGAGAACAGCTGTGAACTGCAGAGGGCGCGTTGCAAAGATAAGACACTGACGCAGGCGCACCGCGGCCGGTGTCGAGGTGGGAATCGGACTCTGGTTTTTAATATCAAGACATATGCAAGAACAGGCTTAATGATTAATTAGATGGAACATTGTGGGTGTGGTGCATGATTGTTAACACTTGTTAACAATTCTTTAGTATATTACTTGTGTGGTGTAGAAGATAATTATTTAGGAATGTAATTATGTATGAATGTTAACACTCTGTCATAATTCTTTAGTATATTACTTGTGTGGTGTAGAAGAGAATTATCTATGTAGAGATACTGCTTGCAAACCAATGATGGTAAGATGATGTCATGGGGTAGGACTGGATAAGTCTGACTTCTTCCTACTCCATTCAAGCATGTACTAGGTATAAGCACATTGATATTGGATTAGCATTTGTTGGATATGTGTAAAATTATGTGTGTTGATATATCAACTGTCTTTACATGCTTGAAAGAATAAATCAAATCAAATCAAAGCAGTAAATTCAGGGACACTCAGAATTCACATCAACATTTTCATGAAATGCACGTTTGCACATTATTCCTACACAATCTTGCCAACAGCTGACACTGAGGCCTTGAAATTTGATGAAGATCTGTGAATGCACCGAAGGAAGAACAGTCTGTGCTCACAGCTGTGTTACCGTTTGACTGTAAAATAACTCCGAGAAGAAACAGACAAGCTATAGTCTCAACATTTTCACAATACTGGAATTACTTTAAAAAATGTTTCCAAGTAGGGGTAAGCAATTTGGATAAAATACTTTAGCATAATAAATGTAATTTTATATCATGATATCAGTTTTTATAGCGATTAATACTTTTTCTGGAAAATCAACTGGACCATGGTCCAGTGTTCACGACAGCCTCATACATCTAGAGGCATTAAAGGGACAGATACAGAACATCAGAGCATGTGAGCGGGGCGACCCGGCGGATTTAGGAAAGAGAACGGAGTGGATTTTTTGTTTTTTTTAGGGTGAGAGTGTTGCCCTGTGTCCTGCTCCAATTTTGCTCCAATACCACTCACACCACGAGCCTGAAACATGCCAAAGCCCGACCCAGAATGCACCTGTCATCCAACACTTTTCAGTCAGTAATGGAGTTCCTGAAGTACTTTAAAAAGGAAACTGATGGGGTCTTACAGGTGTACTGTATATTTTTATTTAAATAGGCCCACTGATTCATTGAATTGTACATGCAACATTTGTTTGTTTTAATTTATTTGTTACACAGGCCTAACTAATTTGAAATAAATCATTTCTATTTGGACAAAGGTATATTGTCCCACTCTATAAACTGCCTTATCATCCATGCCTGCCTCCAGGGCTAAAAACTATCCTAGAAACAAATCATATGAAAGCCCATAGGTTTGCCATCTGTCCAGAACATCCAATTGCAGGAGTAAACAATTAAACTGAGTGCTCTCCCACTTGTGATGTCTGATATTTGATAGAACAAAACAAAGAAGAGAAACAACAACAGTGCTCTATAATATAAACACAACACAGAGTTAATGGCCAAAACTATCTCAAATCTCTAGTACGGCTTAACAATGACAACTCCACCTTTCAGACATCACAGAACTTTGTACAACTTCCTTGTCTTTCAGGTAAAAACTGGGGGAAAATCGGTCAGTTGCCGGTGCCTTCAGCACCAACCTCCACGTCTGAAGGGAGAGACCACGAGCTCAAAGGTACAAAGCAGGAACTTCAGCCACTGAACAAAGTCTGTCCTACAAATAGGAATTATGATAAGCTCAAACTGATGTTACCAAAATTCAAAGCCAGTATTAAATGTTCACCTAAATTACTAAAATATTGGTGTATCTAAGTGTAATCTAACCTTCCCATGAAAACTGTGCATTGTACACTTAGAACACAATAGAATACACTGATTTACTTAAGATTCAAAGAGCAAGATGTTTCAGCCTGGAGCCACAGACAACATTAGAAAGTCTGGGAAAAGTGGAACTGAATGAGAAGATGTCTTTCGTTTTCTGCCTCTCTTTAGGCGTGTAAGTTTTTACAGACCAGGATCACACACTTCCTCAGTCTCTGGATGCCAGCCACACAACCACAGCAGAGATTGATAGGTCTAAAGTCAAGGTTGGAACTTGGCATGTTCCCCCCGTTCAACCCCCCGTTCAACCCCCCCGTATTTTAGGAATGCAACGATCCCTACTGAATCCATTTTGGGGGGCGATTTTTGTTCCCTCTTTATAGTAATTAGTGGTTTTGTTTCATAAAACCACTGGTGTGCCAAGGAAAGGAAAGCTGGGCTGAGCGTGCACAGCCTTTGTAGATGCAGCAGGCCTCCTCTGTTCTAATGAATGCCCTGATTCTCTCAACTGAAAATGATAAAGCGATGCCTTTTTTAGTCAAGTATCGTGCTGGGTAAAGCAGGCATTTTTCAAATGGTGATGTAAATTTTTGCAAACTCTTTGATTTGACTAAGAAATTAAATAAAAGAAACAAACCAGTGAATGTGCAAATATTGCTGCTGTGTCACAACCAGCACAGACAAGCACAAGAAAAAACATAGGGACCAAATTACTCACAGCTTCTGATCATGACGTTGTTTTTAGTTTGCCATAATCACACTGATTTAAATGAGTAGTTGAGTCTTATATACATAAATATACTCAGTCAAAATATGAATAAATAGTCAAATTTAGAAATTCCTCGGTGACATCACCCAGTTCTGGCACTGTCAGTACTGGAGGAGACAACATGTCTGTCTCCTCTCAGGTCCAGACGTGACTGTTTTTAAACTTTTATTTATTCAGGGAGAAGGTCTGCCAAAAGTGGAGGACTGCGGTTGCACTGGTCAGCTCCCTGGTGTCAGTGTGTATGCACAAACAGTCGAATGTCAAGCTGAACACCACAGGAGCTGCGAGGGCAATAAAAACAGCAGTGACCAGCTGATGCAGAGCCCACGTTATTCTCTGACCCCCTGAGAACAGGCCTGTTCGTCAGAAACATGAGCTCAGTTTCCACTGACATTTCAAAAGATCCACGTCGAGCACATGACGCACTCCTCAGGACAAAGTGCTGCTCATGGCTTAGCTCTCGCGCTGCTGATGGTCAGTGGAAGTGTCATTTGTCAGGGAATGTATTGTTTTAGCATTTAGCAACAGCGCAATGAAAGTCCTCTGACATATCTGCAGCAAGGTTTTATGATCAGTACAGCTTGTTCTGTCCTCAAAACCTCCTTAAGGTTTCAGCCCAGGTTGATACAGTGACAACTGTTGCTGTGGTAACAGCAAGTGCAGTTTAATACTAATTGTCATCACTCCACAGAGATACAACACAAGAGCATATGAAGGTGTATGTACAGTGCAGCCAAACTAATTCACAATGTAGTTTTTGTTCTCACTAAAAATGAAAACCACATATAGAACAGGAAATTAAAGAATGCAAATACACTGAATGGCTGAAGGTGGGAAAAAAATACCTTAAATAGCATCAAAACCTGGTTTGATATCATGAAAAACGATTAAAGTCTGCTTTTTATCAGGGAAGATAAACAGCAGTGGAAGCCTACGAAACTCAGATCAACATAAAAAGCCATTAAAAAACTGGAAAAGTGAATTTAAAAAAATGCTGTTTCCTCCCTGTATTCCCAAATTGTGCTCATGAGCAAGGCACTTATAAGCGGAGCACAGTGGCCAACAGTAGTAAACTGGTTGTACTGGTCAGCTCCCAGGTGGGAACAGGACGTTGTTGACAAAGAACATGTCTCCAGCGTGTAAGAGCAGACTGTCCTGTCAACATGTTACAGATGCAGGTCAGTCCAAGTGTCGTGTTGATAGGAACCAGGCGCTGGACCAAGACAGAAGACCTCAGGAGTCCATATTTATCCCAGAATGCAATGAGGATGGAACATACGCCCAGGTCTGTCTCAGCACCTGTACTTTTCCTTCATGTCTTCCACTCTTCATCTTTCTTCTACTAACTCTTCCACAGTTTTGTTGTTCCAGTTGCCCATACTGTACATGTTATGTTGATTTAGTCTGTTCTCACATCTATTGCATCTGTCAGTCTGTCCATCCCAGAAGAAGGATTCCTTCTCTCCAGCTCTTCCTGAGGTTTCTTCCACTTTATTTTTCCACTGTTTTTCTGGGGGGGGGGAGATTTTTCCATATCTGATTCAATGGAGGGCAGAGGGTGCTGTATGCTGTTCAGTATTGTGACTTTTCTTATGGTTTGTTTTCCTCTGTGCGTTGTCACCAGAATCACTTATCACATCAGCGGCCTCGTGTTGCTTATACCACAACACTTAAATTGGAAAAAATGTGTCTAAGAGTGACGAAAAAGAATAGTATTTCTTTTCAGTGTTGTATTTGTTGGACTTTGTAGACGGTCCCTGAGCAACCGTCTCACTGCCAGCTGCACATGTGATATTTCTGAAAATTAGGCTGTAGCTTGTCTGTCTGCGTTACTGTGGTAAAGAGGCGTAGTTTTTGTTTTAACAGTGTTTCACTGATTGATATTGATACAGAAACTTTGAATCTTAATATTTCATCCTAGGATTGGCCTTACGGTACTTTAATAAGTTGTGATAATGTTTCTGGCAAAAAAGTCACCACTTCAATTTAGAATATATGCTTGTCTATTTAAGTAATGCGTAGGCCTTTAGGGGGTTTGCTCCAGCGTTTTCAGAGACGTGAAACCAGCTAGCGTGTTCTGTTTCCTCTTCATCATCAGACTCACTGCATTGAAATTTCCTGCTGTCACAAATATTTGAATACCAAAATTGAAAACCAATTACCTACTCAAAGGACGAACAGTGGAATAACTGGGTAATAAAGCGCTATATAAATAAAACTGAACTCTCAGTCTCTTGTAAAACACTCCTAGTTGACCTAGTGCAAGAGATCAGTTTCATTTCACCGACAGAAATCTATGATTATACCTGTCGTCTTTTGCCGTGTCTACACTCAGATATACTCGTCAAATCATATATGTATATGACAAAGCTGATGTGATATGTGGTGTGGCTTACCTTTTTGCCTCTGCAGGTCCAGTGCCATGCTCTGACACGTTACTGCTGGTGCGTCACCAGTGATGGGAAACCAGTGATCGGCTCCTCTGTGCACAACAGGACCCCGATGTGTTCAGGTACTGGGAGGCAGACATTATGGAAACCTGTAGAGGAATGATCGGAGTTTTTAAAATCATCTAAAAATGTTTGTTCTGTGCACAGTTGCTGATATTTAACATTTTGCTGAACGCACGGCCAGCATGCACTGTAGTGCTGCACACATTGGTGATTCGAGTCTTAGTTGTTTGTACGACCAGAGCAGCTTTACTTCAGAATAATGTTTCACAGAATGTATGACTAGTAGAGGACAGTTGATTATTAGGGTGTAGAAGCAGCATAACAAGCGCTTAACATTTTCAGTGGTGGCTGCTTTTCTCGGTTCTCTGAGCCAAGAGTGCTTGGAAGCCAAGTCACTGGGGTTTGGGCCAATTAACTTTCAGTTTACTGGACTGGGCTTTTTTCAAAATTCAGCAACTGGAATTCACAGGCTACATTAGTCTACTGGGCAGTGCATCGGAAACAGAAGTTAAACTGAATAAATGTCCAGTGAACTTAGCCTTTATCTGAAATAAATGACTTTCAGGAAGCCCGACTGTGCTGATGATGGATAAAGAGTGAAGAGCCTTTGGGCCACAGTTAGAAAGTCTGTCTTGCCATACTATGGCCACATGTGTGGTACATGCCATGCAGAACATAGCAGGTGCAAGGTAACTTTTAACTCAGTCCTCTACTGCCTCTCTTTCTCTGCATTCCCCTCGTGCCACTAATGGCCTGTGTGGCTTCTTTCAGCACCTGCTGTGTTGTAGCTCTTCAAACAGAATCAGTAATGTTCACAAATGGAGCATTTCTATTCACACGGGAAAACCACATCGCTTTTTAGATTCCGAAAAACAAAGATATATAGTAGAAGTTCAAATGTCAAGTTAGTTTTTTTCTTTGTTTGCTGTATAATTGTGCTTTCAAACCCGAAAGTTACACAGCAATTTTTATTACATGTACTAACTGGACAGTAAGTTCACGCAGTATTAAGAGCATCCTGTGGCATTTTCAACCACTTTTACTTCTAGGAGTAATGCTTTTTGTAATGGGTCTTTGTTTTGTTTGTTAAAGACATGAGGCGTCCTTTCCTCTGATCCTTTATCTGAAGTGTCCAGTCACCAGCTGATTTTAGATAAAGGGGCATTTGGGTGCACTAAATAAGACTTTTGTGAAGGATGTTCTTATGTATCCTTGCTCATGGCTCCTCCAGGCAGCCTCCTCGCTCCTTGATCCCTGCTCCCCAGAGCAGGAATAAGAGTTTTAGGACCTTCGAGACGGCAAACCCAAACAACTTCCTGGTCAAGTGAGGATTGAGGAATGATCAAATAAGGGAACTGGGATTTACTCCATAGTCCTGCTGTTGGTCTCACACTGTTCCACTGCCAGTAGTTCCACTACAGAGAATTGATTTTAGTCCAAAATTAAATACTGATGAAACAGAGTTTAGAACTGAATTTCCTACATTTGTTCAACAGAATTCAGTATGAAGAAGCTTGATGAGTTCTCATGCAGAAACCAAGAGTTTTGTTGTGGTTTTGAACTTCAAGAAATGCCTTTTTCCTGCACTCCACCAGTACTCGTTGGAAGACAAATCTTTTCAGCTGCCTAGCTTTAAATATTTTCTATATGAAATACCAAAACAAAGATTGCCCAAAAAAATCTCTACTTGTCTCCTTTCTGTCCTGCATAAGATCCAATATCTTCATTGTTTCTTGCAAAGGTATATATGTGACACACCAGTAAACCTGGTATACATCTGCTGCAGTCATCCACACCCAGCTCACCTTCTCTTGCTTCCTCTCTGAACTGAGAACAAAAAAAACTTCACTGGCATGCTCAGACGCCCCTAAACACTATGACTCGAATCAATCATCTCACATACATCTGCAGGAAACGTCCATGAATTTATGGGAACTCATGCTGGGACAAGTGGACTGTCAGGTAGTAAAATTCTTCCTAGTTGCCTTCACCCAAAATTCCTCCCCTTTGCTCTTCTATTGTGATTGCTTGCATTACATTTTGCCCTTTTTCCATCCATGCATGAAACTGACCATTTGCATGTGTGCACCAAACAAGAACAATAGCTGGAAATGTAAAACATAATTTGTTTGACAATCATTTTCCACAGTTGGAGCAAATCACTCAGGTTTGGATTAGGAAGCACTAAATGCGACAAGCCTAATTTTTCAGTTGTGTGCCTTTTATCAAGAACTAACTGAACATAATTGTCAGACTTTGATAAACCCCAGCTTCTAACTCTAAGGAAAGACATCAGTGGGCTGGGTGATCTGCAGGAGCTATGTTTTTCCTGCTGGTGTGTGCCCTGTGTTAACATGGAACAGTTGTTGCTGCTGTTTAGCCTTTTGCTTTGTACATGTTTTTTCCTTAACAGGGTCAGTAACCGACAGACCACCTGGGCCACCGAACTCTGGCAGAAAAGGTGAGTTGAGCTCTGTTGCATGTTGTGTGTGCATGTGCATGAGTGTTTCTTTGTAATGAGAAAGACAGAAACAGAGCACAAGTTCCAAATGTCTTTTGACCAGATTTTGTTCCATCTGATCTGTGCAAAGTTCAGAGAGGTGCATGTCTAATGTTTCACTTGTAATGTTACGGAGCTTCACAGAAAAAAAAAGTATTTTTCTTTAACTCTTTACTGATGCTGAGCTCTTGATTTAGCATACAATTACCATTTAACTAATCAGGTGTTTGTTACTCTTCAGTGTATGCATCAACGACAGTATTGCATTCTATTTTGTTTTTATTGCTGTGCACATCGGAGGCCATTGGGCTGGAGTCACAGTCCTTATATTTTTGATAATACTTGGCAATAAAGTTTACGCTTACTTGAATAGTGAACACTATATAGTTTCACTGGCTATGTGCCCTACTTGCCACAGGGTAAAGAATGGCTGTACTGTGCTTATGTAGTTTTCCTCTAGTTTCGGTGATGTAACCAAGTCGATTAAAGAAACGGTAAAATAAAACTGAGTCTGCAGGGAACATGTGACAAACAGCAGCTCTGCTTCAGAAATCTTACTGAAAATACATTTAGAAGGCTTTCCTTAAACTGAGACCTGATGGGCAGCTCTTCAGGGTTTCACTATTGTAAAGCACTTCAGTTGCCATTTCCCAGGCCAGACGGTGTTTCTCTATATACAACAGAGTAAAGGACTAGAGGGAGACCAGGTGACAGCCGAGGCAGGGCTTTGTTGGCTATATTAAAGGTTCTTGTCCCCCCCACTCACAGCCCAGACCTGGATCAAAGAGTAGTTAATAAACTGTAAATAAGTTGTTTAACATGCTCAGTATCGACAGTTGGTACAAGGAAATCTGTAGCACATGTACATACTGTATCTCTGTTTGACCCATGTTTGCACTTTTCTGAGACCAAGAAGAAGCTTTATTTTATTGTCATTGTAATATTGTGACACGTACAACGAAATTTTGTTTGGAGCTGAGGGCCCCGGGCCACTGCGTGCATACGCGCCGCCATGGGTTCAGTGTCTTGCCCAAGGACACTTCGACATGTGGACTGCAGGCATCGAGATTCGAACCTTCAACCTTCCAGTTGGGAGACGACTACTCTACCCCACCGCACCACTGTTGTCGTCCCCCCCCCAGCTAGTAACTACTGCATTTTATTTACAGTTTGAACTGCCCAGGTCAGTTTGACCTCAGGTGTTTCAAGATAACTGACACAGTGTTGATCCAGAATGACTCCAGTCAAAGTTTCTCTGTGGTTTGCTTTTAATTGAATTATTTCCAAAGGAATGTTTCAGATGCAACAAATCTGCACACTGGTGAGTATAACAGGTAGCAGATAGCACTAGCATTGTATAAAGATTAAGTTTGTTGTACAATTGTTTTACAGGACAGATGTTTTCCCAGTTCTGAATATTTACTTCTTCCAAAGTTTTTGTAGAGTTTTTTTCTTTTGTTTTGTTGCGTCAATGCGCTGTACATATGCACCAAACACTTTACCACTGCTAGAAACAAATGTATTTTTACAGGGAAAAGTACAATGAGTTGTGTTTGAATTGTTTTTTAAGCAGGTTTTTTCTTACCACATGGTATTACAGCTTTTAGGCTGGAGCTAAAACATGTTATCCAAAGTACTTTCTATAATTGGAAATGCTTAATGATGACATATTTTTCCATAACACTGGATAAAAAAACAGAATATGAGAAAGACAGTGACAGATTACTCAGCCCGCAGCTTAGACACTAGTGGATTCAAACATTAAGGCAATTTTATAGTGAGGTTTTATGGTGACTATTTATGAATGTGGCAGTGCAGTGGTCTTTACTATTATTAGCGGTTATACAGTATGTTATGTGGTTTGTATGCAGCTAAATCCGACTGAGAAACGCTGTATATTGCTGGACGCTTGTTGATGCTGCTTTTGAGAGTCAGGAGATTATTAATCATCTGATGTTGTATGTGCTACATACACAGAAGGGAGGGAGAAATAAATCCACCTTGGAGAATAAACATTTCATATTTTCATTGTACAAATGGATGAAATTTTAGGTGGGCTGTGGTACTAAAGGAATGATCAGGGGGACAAATATAAATACTATGCTAGATTCATTCATTTCACTAAAATGCCATATCCACAAATTTTGGCCAAATCTACAAACCCATCTTGGACCAAGGCATGAGACAAGGGCAACAGAATAAGAGTCGGACCTTTGTCCTCTGGAGACCATCACTTTGATAGTGTCGGGGAAGTCTGGCTACCTGTTGAGATTGTACTCTGGACCAGCGCTTTGGACAGACCAATCAATTAACCGACTGACAAGTCAGCTTCAGTGTTCTGAGCGGGGCAAGTCATCTTATTCTGGCAGCCAAAAATGATGCTCACAACCCTTCATCAGTTCGGTGGTGAACTCAGCCTCTGCTCGGCAGGCAGACGACAGGAAGATCCCGACAAAATGAGGCTGGAGTCGGTGGTGTCTTGACTTCAGAGAATGTGTATTACTGCACACAGCTCCGTTCACCCGTCCATCCCCCTCGGCGCACAACTAACTAGTTAGTATGCTAATTTAATTTAGCGCCGCCTAGGCTCCACTAGCTTCCGCAAAGACAAGATCGTGTGTGTGTGTGTGTGTATGTATGTGTATGTATGTATGTATGTGTGTGTGGATGTGTGGTTCAGACTGACTGTGAGGGAGATGTGCTAAATGTACAGGTCAGTGTGACGAGTTGATTTACTGATGTGTGAGAGAGACAGAGATGTAGAGCCAGATGTGGGTGGCCATCTTTTTGTCTGTACTTCTGTCTGTCTTGGCCGGGTCATGTGCAAATCCCAACTATTCAACAATTCTGGAGAGTAGATTGTATTAACCTCAATAATGGCAGTCTCTTTTCGTTTCTTTCTGACTCTCAACCCAGATGACGGCTCCAAGCCCACACCCACCATGGAGACTCCCGTTCCCCCTGAGGGTGATGGTAAGTCTTCCCTAACTACTCCTCCACCTGCACAGAGGTAAAACTGTCACTCGGTTAGCCAAGATGGTCATTTACATTAACTAGCTAAGGTGCAAACTAACAATGTTTCTCCTTTGTGTACTTTTAAACTTTTGATCTACAGTGTACTAAAACCAAGATGACAATTCTAAGAATCCACCATTACATCAAATCGAAAAATCCAGATGTCAAAAATATCACGACATCTCTGATAATTTTTCTAAATACTAATACCACGGATGCAAATTATTTATGGTTTTGTGGCAAAGCTTGGCTGTAGTTTGAAATGTGCAGCTACTGGCCAGGTTTAATGTAATGTATCTGTAGTAAACTGTCTAGAGATCATCTAAAAGTGCAGAAGCATTGATCTAGTCTGTCATCCTGTGCCTGCAGAGATAACTGCGCCAACGCTGTGGTTCAAACAGCTGGTTTATAAGGAGAATAAGCAGAACAGCTCCACTTCCAGGAAGCAAGGTGAGAGAAAGAAATCCTTTAAAATTCTAAGAAATGAAAGCACACGTTCTCCTTTATATACATTAAAACACTAGATCGGCAGTTTACAACATGTGTGTGGGAAGCCAAGCCAAGTAAAACCACCTACTCAAATATCACCACTGACTGCACTGTTTTCAGGACACAGTTATTAGCCACATATTGATCTTAAGAGGAATATGACTATACCAGAGGAGTAGCTCAAACCCTAATAAAGTGTACACTTGGCTCCAGTTTTACCTGGTTTCAAAGCTATCTGTTTAAGATGAAATGTAAAACATTCCCATTTTGACAACAGCCCTGCACTACTGGGATTATATTTCTTGCTTTCTTTCCTTTGGTGTAATTTGTTTAGCTTTCTCTGTCTCCGTTTCAATTACGCCTCGACATGTTCGCTACCCTCTAGGCAGCCGGATGCCATTTCACGCTTCTGCATCAAGTCAGGGAGTGAATGTGGTGGGGATCGTGAGCATGTGTGCTTGTATGCCCAGCAGTGTGAGGACTGGTTTAAATTTTATACAGTAAGAGTGGGAACATTTGGAAAAGTGAGGACATTTTGGCTGGTCCTCACGTTCTCACACCCTTTCAAAGGGTATTTTCACTTTTAAGGTTCAAATAAGAATACGGTTTATATTAGCGTTGGGTATAGACATTTAGTTCTGATAGTTAAACTTAGGGTAAGGGGCTAGGGAATGCATTTGGTCAATGAATGTCCTCACAAAGATGGCTATATAAATATGTGTACATGGTATTACACACACGGTGGGGACAGAAACCTGTTCACACACACACATTGCGGGGACCACTGGACCCAAAGGGAAACTGTGGTCATCTTAGCGCTGAGGATTGTATTTTAACTGACAGACATTCATTGTGACAGCTCTTTGAAACTTCTGTGGCAACACCAACTCCCTGTTTCCAGTTACCACCCAGTGTCCTCAAAGGACAAACAACAAGGTTGAGTGAGGGAGACATCATCACATACTGTTTGAGACATGAGTGATGTGCATCGGTATACGTCTGCATATAATCTATGTATCAAAGGGAGATTCCATGCCTTTATATTTGTGTGTGTGAATATGCATATGTGCATGAAACTGTCTTTAAAAGTAAAATAATCTAGAAAGATATCAGCAAATTAATCAAAAGTAAAAAGAATTAGCTATAGCCCTAAATTTATTTTTAACTTAGCTAAGTAAACATAGATGGTAACAAAAATGACCATTACTACTTTTACCCAAAGCTACTCCATCTAATTTCTTTTTAAGCCTAGAGGGTCTAGTGAGACTCACAACAAACTATAACTTTTTACCATTCTTTGCCCCTCCCATCACATCCTGTTTCCTATCCATGACGTAAGCTACAGAAACCTGGTAGTGACAAACTGCACAGTACGAGTCCACCAGCCTGAAGCTAGTGTTAGCTGACTAACGAATAAATTTGTCAGTCCGGTAGAACACTCTGGTTACTGCTAAAGTGACACAAAGCACTAATGTTACACAAAGCTTGAACTGCTCCCAAATTAAAGTCATATTGATTGAATACAAAGATAAAATCATGACCATGCGAGGTCGCTAATGTTACCAAAACAAACACCTATGCTAAAACATAGCAAGAAGAACGCCATATCTGAATCAAAATTGAGTCCTTTGGCTGCTTTTAACACTCTCCATCTCAAATAGCGAAAAGAACTTGAACTCTCTCTGTGCAAAAGAACATGACCTCTTTGGTCTGGCTGTTTGAACTGACTACTTTGTGGACTGTACTTTGACATCACAAGGTAGAGAAGTTGGAGCAACAACAAAAAGTCTGTAGGCAGCAGAGTATCATGGACAGGGGTAGTATAGCTGAGACACACCACATCCCGTCCCAGTTTCACTGGACTTATCAGACAATGTGTAAAATCTTAGTTAATGTACCTTTAAGTTATGGTCTACTTCCATAGCCTGAAACTCCCAGCAGTCAGCTGGAGAGATCATTATACAGAACTTTTTCTTTCTACCTTCCTTACTAAAATAGTTTTAAAGCAGAGAGGATTTGGTACAGCAAGTCCTCATTATTTAAACATTATCTAAACCTCTCTGTCTTGTCTTTCTCTCCCTACAAGCTGGAAAACCTGAGTGCTCACAGAGTAGCCCTCCTCTATGCACATAAACTGTGGTCTTCATTTACTGTCTCTGGATACCCCATAATAATGATTTAGGGTGATGAGGAGTTCATGTTAGCCAGACCTGTTTGTTTAGGCAAAGCAGTGTAAAGTTCATTTTTCAAACAGATGGTTTGTTGCCAGACTTTGACACGCTGTTGTTCCAAGGTTGCAAGGAGGGGGAAGCACTCTGTCATGAAGATAATTTCTGAACGTGTGTGGAAAACAAGAAGTTAACTAACCAATGCTCCTCCCTTGTGGAGAGACAAACAAAAGAAAACCAAAACGCTGAAGGGATATGAGGCCATTGTGTCAGCTAAGAGCATGATTTCATATAAAATCTTAAACAGGAATTTTGTTTAATTGTATTTACATGCAGCATGTGTTACACTTCTCAGTAAATTAAGCGACAATGGTAACGTATTGCAGCTAATGAACAATGTGTCAAAATATATATACAGTAACCATTTTATGAACATCATCTATTTTTATTGCACTCTAGGTTCTAAGAACAAGCACATGCACCTACATACCTCCTCACAAAGTTCCACCACTACTAACATTTCTGCAGTTTTAACTGCAGAGAAAGCTTTGTTGAGACAATATTGCAGTGATTACCCCACAGCTGAAAGCCATTGGAGTGAAGTGTAGAGGAGAGAGGGTTGGTGGGAGAGATGGGGGGCACTAGAATGGGGGGAGAAAAGGAAAGTGAAGGGATGAGAGGCTTAAGGGGGTGGGAGGAAGGGACTGAGGAACTGCTCAATATTGGTCATCTTTTGCCCATTATGATGAAAATCACTACAACAACATGGAAATTGTTACAACTGTTCCTGACGTCCACTCATGTGGGTTTCTCATTTGTCAGTATTTGTTTTCTGAGGGTTTGTGTTTCTGATCTTTCTGTTTCTGCCAAGGGAACAGGACTAAAATTAAAAAAGAAACAAAAACAAAAAATAAACAAGGCATCCAAAGACGTCATATCTTGAATTTCACATCCACACAAAGCTGAGAAGATTACTTTGCAACTGTCCCCCCATTTTTAAGTATGACAACTATTTGCTTTTGGGGATCCTGGTCCCTGGCACCAGAATAACCTCTCTATAATAAACAGCGTTAAAGAATTTGTATGTGAGGGAACCTTGGCGAGGACCGGAGCCACGGCACAGCGCTAAGAACACTTGAGTGAGACTCACTGAAGAAAAGGGGTTTTGTGTCTTTCAATGTGTCAAAATGAAACACAGGAAACACAGGAACCCCCCCCCCACACACACACACACACACACAAAACGTTCCACGTTCCCTGCTACTGAACCTGCCACTATCATCTTCATCTTTATTAACCTTCCCAGGGAAGAAGACAAAGACCTACTGTGTCTCATACTGTATATGTAGATCAGGTTTCGTGACAATCTCTTCAAATTTCTCTGCTCTAAAGAAAATTATTCACCATCCTATTAATCAGGAAATCTTGTAACACTTCAATTTTACCAAAAATCCCATTTAGTGAAGGACTAGTTTAAAGTTTTCAAACTCAATTATGAATCTAAAGCTGTTTTTTAGCTCAGTTTTTGGTCTCTACCAATTCCTGAGAAAAGCATCTGCATCTTTAGCTACTAAACATTGTAGTTTCTTTATTAGCCACTCGCTAACTTTGTCTGCCATCTGGTGCTGTTGCATGGATCTTTGTCACCTAAAATCATCAGCCAGAACCAAAACAATAAAGATGTGGGCAGTCAAAATAAAACAATGATCTAAAAGGCACTACAAGGCTCCAAAGGAAAAAGCAGTCAGGTTATAATCTGCCATAGAACTGTGACTAGAATTCATAACAGAACTGTTTTGAGCTTTAAATAAAGGACATACAATAAATAATTCTGACCTCTGTTGTGGGGTAGACAATATGCTCACAACTCTGTAGGAGTCCAACATCTAATTTCACAAGCTCGTTTAGAGACATCTCCAAATGGTTAGCACGACCATTACTGTAACTTAGCTAAATGCTTCATAGTGCACTTGAACATAAAATGACAAATGAATCAGGAGTCGTAAAAGCACACTTCACCGTCATGGTAACATGCTTAACATGCGGCTCTGTTGTACTTGGCTTATGAGTGAGAAACAGACTAAATGGATGTGAATGTAAATACACGGTGGTGGGACTAAGTGTTGCAGGAGCATCTTACAAGAGTAGCGGCTGTTGCTGAACAGACAGTGTATGAGGGGTCATGGTAGGTAAGACTTCCTAATGCAAGCTGAGGAAAGACTGTTTTTTGGTAGCAGTCCTTAATAATTCTGAAGGCTTTCACTGCATCTCACAGTCTGCAAACTGAGTTTTATTAGCTATTACAGAGATGATTCAATTGTCATTACTTAACTTCTACCATGTGACATGACAACGGGTGGTTTTGCCATATTTAGCATTGTTTTATAATGTGTTTAACACCTGACATCCAGCTACACGATGGGCAATATGTTCATGGGATGAAGCGGCGCTGAGTTATCTTGAATTAAGTGAGAACATCAATACTCAAACTTGAAAGCCCTAAACATCTAACACTTTCACAAAGTGATCTGAAGGATGCTAAATACTAGTTCTACCAACCAAAATTTGATGGCAAATCACCAGTAAATTTGGTTGATCAACAGCCAGTTGTGATTGGGAAACTTGCCCCTAAATAGTGGCCTACAAATACAACAGGAGGATGCATAACACTATATATACGTTTTGGATTTCGTGGACAAATGATCAGTTTTGGATAGGGTTACATGATCAATATCACACATTGACCTTTAAAATTTTCTGTCTGCAATATGTGTCTGGTTGTCTAACCGTCTCTCTCTGTATATATTGAGTGTGTTTCTTATGGTTTTAGAGAAAGTTCCCTCTTGTGACCAAGAGAGACAGAGCACCTTGGAAGAGGCTCGGCAGAACCCTCGCGAAGCCATTTTCATCCCTGAGTGTGGGCCTGGAGGCCTTTACAAACCAGTCCAGTGCCATCAGTCAACAGGCTACTGCTGGTGTGTTCTGGTGGACACAGGACGGCCCATTCCTGGAACCTCCACCAGGTAACACACAGTAAGGATTAGCCCTTAACTCAGAATTGTTCTATACTGTATGAAGAGCTGTTACAATATACATACAGTACAATAGCTTGTGGTGGGGTGTCAGCTAACATGTCTACAGTGACAATGCTAACGTGTTTAGTGTGCTAGCATGTTGACATCTGCTAATAAGCACTGAAAACAAAGTTCGTCCGAGGCTGTTGAGAATGTCACTAGTTTGCTGGCTTTTATTCAAAGTGAAGAATTGGACAAGTCAAATTTTGCCTTGATGATGCATTAGATGAAAAGTTAAGGCATCCCGAAGTCATTTGAATTAATCGCAAGGGAAACATGCATCTGTGCCAAGTTTAATGGTAATCAGTTATGGAGATATTCCACTCAAAGCCACAAATGTCAATCTCGTGGTAAAGCCAGAGGAAAGGTCAATGGACTCACAGAGTCAAGATAAGATTTATGCTTAGGAGACCATGAATGTCTGCACCAAATTTCATGGCAATCTTTCAAATAGCTGTGAATGCATTTCAATGTTGAACCGAGCACTGACGAACAGACCGACATCCATCCCTAGAGCTACTGGCTAACAGCTTGTTTTGCTGCTAAAAGAGAAGTTTAGATCCAAGCTGCTGTTGCCATTTTCACTTTACTTTCACATTATCTTTAAGCCCCTGATGGGAAACTCACTTAGCTGACCATAAACACTCAGCTTTTGGTATGTCATTTGTTTTCAGTGCAGTTACTACTGTTTATATTGCTTTTGGCAAAATGGCAGAGGCACAGTTGGTTTTTGCAAAGCAGAGAGATGGAGATGAGGCAACAGAAAAGATTAAATAAAATATTCACGTTTTGGTTGTTTAAAAGGTTTTATGATTTTTATCTAGAACATCGAGATCACAACATGAAACAATGCTAGACAGAAAGAGCCGAAGGTATGAAAAGCTAAGCATGCACCAATAAATAAATGAAGTTTTTATTCCTGCAAGACATCATCATTATCTCCACAGGATGATTTGTTTTACATGATTACATGATTGTTCTTTGGCCTTAATACTATTTGCATACAGGATAATGCTGGCTGTGTGCCTTGGATTTATCATTTAGTCTCTAATAAATAACATACCAGGGTTTGTTTTTTTTTTTTCTTGTTGTTGTTAAAAGATTGAAGCCAAAGCAAAACAACTGCAAGCTTAAGACTCTCATCTGCATTTTAGACACTGAATGAAAAACCTGATTTGATTATTTCTTTACTTTGGACTTTATTGTTCTTTAGACTAGACCTCATGCCATCCAAATTCATCTCCCATGGACAGCAACGTGCAGAGTAATGCACCAGTCATCCCATCTTGGACCAATGGATTTGCAGACTGAAAAAAAAAAACAAATGACTACTTGCTTTTACTTTGGAAAAAAAAAAGCCAAATCAGACACACATGGCCAGTTTTCCATCCTGTTCAATACAATGATACAGTACCTAGGAGAAAACAAGTCATGCCTTGCATAATGCCAAACAATTTGCTATGGCTCAGAAACAAAGACTAAAATGAATGTATTCACTAAATATTTATTAAAAATTGAATCACTGAGTATTTCTTTACAGATCTATAGTGGACACATGGATTAAAACCAAAGAGCGATAGGTTATAATTTACTTTTATGTGTAGAGATGCATGCTGCGACTAGATCAGGGAGAGTACATGTGTTCCACCTCAGACTGTTCTGAGGCTTGGAAGAAAAACAAGAAAATCTTTTGTGGTGTTTTTGTTTTGTGGAGTGTTCGGTCACAGGCCATGTCTGACTTCTTGTATTTGATAGGGCACAAATAATTTTTAAACATGGACCAGCAGTGCTTTAAATGTTTCAGGCATTTCCACTATTGCTAAAGCAGGTTTATCTTCTTTCTTCTGTCTCATGGAGTCACGTTCCCGCTGTCCTCTCTTCTCTGTGTAACAGGTACCAGATGCCGGAGTGTGATGGAGCTGCACGATCTCGCATCACAGACACAGAAGATCCCTTCCAAGGCAGAGAACTGACAGGTTCGATTCAATCTTGCGCTTGGATTGGAAAAACATTCCTGGATTCAATTTAAATTTGTGTAACAAATCTTATTTTTAATAACTGATGCAGCTAAAAGTTTGACTAGCATGCCTTCAACAATGTTGATAATGAATGAGAAAAAAAAAAATCTAGTCAGACATCGAACCTTTGTGTTGTGCGGTCCCCCCCCCCCCCCCACCCCAGGATACAGACCACCCATGCATTTGGCTAGGGTTACTGGAGTATAAAGGTTCCAAATCTAAAATGACTTCCCCTAAAACACACTGGATGTGCTAGCCATAAATGAGGAGATATTTTATGTCCTGTAAAGGGATGTTCTGAACCACAACAAAACAACATTTCATGGCCATCACATCAAGGCAAGAGGAGAAAATAATGCTCAAGAGAGCAGTCAGTTAACCAGGGCTGGAAAATAACTACATTTAATCAAGTGCTGTACTTAGTGAAAGGGCAATTTTGAGGTGTCTGTATTTCACTGTTTGCTCCTTTGGCTTCACTACATTTTAGAGGCAAATGTTGTACTTTTGACTCTACTAAATTTACTTCATCTGCATTTTTAAAGCCTTCAGACTAACAAGATCAAATCCAAGAAGCCCAGAGCCCGTTTGCTGCTGCCAGAGGTCCTGCACCACATTTTACCTTTTACACTTTGCCACATATGCTGCATACTGTATAGCAAAATGATTTGGCCCTCCAAACACCCTAATTTAATACTTGGATTAAGGCGCAGCAAGGCAGCGCTTCTCCGAGCTTATTGTGTCAGTGGAAATGCCAATTGTATTTATCTGGCGGGGCAGCGTACTACCTCCCACAGCACGGAGCCAGCACAATGACAATAACGAGAAGTGAACAGAGTCGAGGACAAGGAGACCACAAACACTGAGAGGGAGGGGAGAAGGGAGCAACTTAGAAAGCTTGTGAGAAAAGAGAGTGGCAGTGTGTTTTAAGCTTTCCAATAACAGACACATTTAGGAGGGGGACACTTGCACTGGTTTAACATATTATTTATTATATTATTTACATCTGGGCTATTAAAAAGGGCTACCCAAGCTGTTCAGAATTGTGTTATAAAAGCTAACAGGTCTGCACTGCTCAACAAAGCTCTCTCATCACCACACACCTCTGCACCACCTCTTCCCATGTACCTCAGCTCTGTTTTCCTGAAGTCTTGTAAAACAGTTTATTTCACCTCTATGGAAAACATATTCAAAATGATTCACCAGTAATTGTGAACACTGGCCAGTTTTCAGATGCACCTGGTCTGTCATTAACCACTGGATGATGTTTGTATGCCTTCTTTTACTGTGTAACAGCTGTTTTCTGTTTGATATCTGTCATAATGGTTCACTGGTTCTGAGGTTATATAGTAGAGGCACTTCAGCTTCACTGCGCCCTAATGACTCAGATTAGCTCTGGGACGTAATGGGTGTATTTTTGTCTTTGATTTGTGCCAGGCTGCCCAGAGGGAAAGAAAGTGGAATTCATTACAAGCTTGTTAGATGCCCTCACCACTGACATGGTCGTAGCCATAACCTCACAAGCCCCCTCTGGTGGTGGGAGGTAAGTTGTGTCACGTACAACAGTAAACTCAGGAGTATTGTACCTAAGCAGAGCAGGTTGATTCCTTGTGGAAAACCTCAACCCTGTTCTGGCTTTTCTCAGATAATACTGCGTTTAACCCCGTTTTTCTGAACTGCACGCCAGTATTTTTTCTCTGACATGAAGCATAGATCTCAGCACAGACATGGACAGTGTGGTGTTCACTTTCCATCAGTGGTAAAACTACAGACAGGAGACAGATGAAAGGAAAACCCTGAACAAATGAGTGGCCTCTTCCAGGATGACAGTGCCCCCATCCACAGGGCACCAGAAGTCACTGAACGGTTTGATGACATGAAAGAGCATGAAAATGATGTGAAGCATATTCTGAGTCACCAGATCTCAGCCCAGATGAACAGTGAACAGCTATGGGGGATGTTGGAGCGACGTGTTAGACAGCACCTACGCCACCATCATCAAAACACCACATGTTGTGTTCATCCCTCCAGTAGAGTTCAAAGACTTGGACAGTCAATGCCAAGGTGCACTGAAGCTGTTCTGGTGGCACGTGGTGGCTCAGCACCTACTGAGACTCTTTATGTTGGGCTTTCATTTCATTTGTCACCTGTCTGTATATAAATTGATGGGGCTGAAAGGTATTTTGGAGTAAAGCTGTCGAGATTATGAAATATGTCAGTGTGAGACTTAGTCACTGCCTGAAAAGGTGAATCCATTCTGCCAAGCAAAGCAGATATTTTAAAAAATGTATTGTAAGCTACTGTTTGCTGCAACAAAATTGACACCTGCTACTGAACAAAACCGACTGAAATATTTAGATTTGCATCTTTTTTTCCAACGGGTGTTGTGGTTTCACTTCAATGTAAATCAACAAAGTGGACCAATCTTTTTCAAGTGATATAATTGTGGATCAAAAGTGCATCATGTAGAATTAACTATAATTTACCAGCCCATCTTAAAATGCACTTCAACATGTTGCTTTTTGGTTTGTTTTTGCAGTTTATTCTGAATAGGTCTACTGTGTTGTTGCTATGGTTAATAATAAAAAAATAAGGTAACTGTAACTGCCTTTTAACACCTTTTGCTGCTTCCTTTTATGCCAACTATTCTGTTTTGAAACATCCATGTTTTAACTTCTGTCTATTCCTCTGACCTTCCCCAGGTTTGTTGAGCCTGACCCCAGTCACACTTTAGAGGAGAGGGTGGTGCACTGGTACTTTGCCCAGCTGGATAGCAACGGAAGCAATGACATCAACAAGAAGGAGCTAAAACCTTTCAAGAAGTACCTGAAGAAGAAAGCCAAACCCAAGAAATGTGCACGCAAGTTCACCGACTACTGTGACCTGAATAAGGACAGGGCCATTTCCCTGCAAGAGCTGAAAGGCTGCCTGGGCGTCAGCAAGGAAGGTAAGAAGAAAGGAAAGCTTGGGCAAACTGAGCAGAGGGAAACAGGATGAGTGAGAGTGGGTTGGCAGGGTCAAGGAGTGGGGTCATAACCACGGTCTGAACCTGAGGCCAGCTGGGAAAATCCGTTCTCTAGACAAAGGTGATCTTGTACAGTAAATGGGGTTTTTCTAAAAGGTAAAACATGGTACTGTCTATTCTGAACCAGCAGAAAGACTTCAAAACTACAATGCATGAATTCTATTACAAATACGAAAAACTGAATTAAAATGGTACGTGGTGTTGTATTATGAATAATTTTAAACACAACAAGCAACCTTTCCCAGACAAGTCATTTTTACTACTATTTTCATTATGTCATAGTTTAAAATTAGTTGAGAGAGTCGCAGCCAGCCAGTCGTTTAGAGGAAGGAATGAAGTAACTGTGGTACATGTGACAAACAGATGTTTTGGCAGTCTAAATAAGGTGAACTGCTCTACTCAGCACTCGCTGATGAATATTTAGACAAGCCTAATGTACTGTGTTTGTGGATCTTAGACACTGTCTGGGCCGGAAACCTGTGACTACTTATCATGGGTTTACAGAGCAGTCCTAATAGAGATCATTAAGTACTGTCAAAGGAGCTTACAGCGAGAGACTGCTGCCAGTCTACAAGCCACATGCTATATTAGGCAGCAGAGAGAAAAATAATTTTTCTTACTGACATTTATGTTTAGCCATTTTAAAATGAAGTTTTAACTGGTTTGAAAAAGCCCAGAGATCATGAAATGCCTTCAACATGTAAATGAACAGGGTGACTTTCATTTCAAAAAGAACATAAGTAAATGTAATGAGAAGTTATTTTTTTACAGGTAGCTGACTGATATTTTCTTTAATGATTTCAAAACCAAAACATCCACCTGTATTAACTTTAACGTAGTTCTCTTTTGCAGGTAGCTCAATGACAAGTGGAAATCAAGGGACAAGGCAAGGGACAAATTTGTACCGTAAGGCAAACTAATGTGCTTTCACTAACTTTGCCTTAGGCTTTAAGTGCTGTAGGCAGCTTACTGTATAATCCATTAACATGCACTTTGGTAAAATGTGTCACTTTGGGTTAGTTCCAGTAAGTTCACACAGCAGCACTTAATTTTTCTTGCTGAATGCAATTTGTGCCAAACATTTAATTAAGTTTGAGCTATCTTCCCTTGTGCGTTTGTAACCATGTGTACTGTTGCCTGGTGTTTGGTGTGTGCTCATGTTTAAGATGGCGTGTTGTCAGCTATTCTACTGGTGAAAAGAGTCGGATTTTGTCTGCAGTGAGTGAGACCCCACCTCATGTCATGACCATAACAACAGAAATGATGTTTGTGGATTTGTTTTGATTGACAGGCCTGAAACTTAATAACTCATCTTCAAATGTCTTGTTTTATTGGACCACTAGTCCAAAAATATTTACTGCCATACATGACATAAGAAAGCATCAGATTTTCTACCAACCATTACAACTCTAGACTTTGATTTAGACAAGATGTTGGAAATTAAGAAGCAACCAACATGAAATCAACAAATACGTTCTACCTTTTTGAATTTAGCCTGTCTCACTGGTTCTACTGGTGCTGTTGACTCTGGCCACTGGGATTGTCAACATATAGTCCAACACAACCTTTCCTCAACAAAGGTTCAGTGAACCTCTGTAATAGGCCTCAACATCTGCCCCTCATTGTGCATTCTGGGATGTGTGAATATTCAAATATATGCAACTTGACCCACCGCACCTGAGCCACCCACACATAGACCTGTGAACTTTGTATCAGGATGAGACAGGAGTGAAAACTGAAGAGATGTAGCAGTTTGTTTGAGCTTCATACACCCATAACATAGCAATACTGCATAAAAGAAATATAAGTGGAATGTTCACATGTATTTAGTCTGGCTGAGAGTTTGTCAGTATGTCTTTATTTCTTTCTTTCTTTATTTTCTCACATGATCCAAAACACAATCTAGTAAAGTTACCAGAGAGCTGAGAGCCCGTCTTACTGTATTAGCAGCAGCCAAATGTAAGTGTTAATATTACTTTCCAACAATGGTACATCTTTACACGTCTACTACGTGTCTCATACCATCTCATAACATTAAACAGTACAATCATGAAGTGGAATGAAATTTATTGGATATTTCAAACTTTTTTAACAAATAAAAAACTGAATAATTGGGCGTGCAAAATTATTCAGCCCCTTTACTTTCAGTGCAGCAAACTCTCTCCAGAAGTTCAGTGAGGATCTCTGAATGATCCAATGTTGACCTAAATGACTAATGATGATAAATAGAATCCACCTGTGTGTAATCAAGTCTCCGTATAAATGCACCTGCACTGTGATAGTCTCAGAGGTCCGTTTAAAGCGCAGAGAGCATCATGAAGAACAAGGAACACACCAGGCAGGTCCGAGATACTGTTGTGGAGAAGTTTAAAGCCGGATTTGGATACAAAAAGATTTCCCAAGCTTTAAACATCCCAAGGAGCACTGTGCAAGCGATAATATTGAAATGGAAGGAGTATCAGACCACTGCAAATCTACCAAGACCTGGCCGTCCCTCTAAACTTTCAGCTCATACAAGGAGAAGACTGATCAGAGATGCAGCCAAGAGGCCCATGATCACTCTGGATGAACTGCAGAGATCTACAGCTGAGGTGGGAGACTCTGTCCATAGGACAACAATCAGTCGTATACTGCACAAATCTGGCCTTTATGGAAGAGTGGCAAGAAGAAAGCCATTTCTTAAAGATATCCATAAAAAGTGTCGTTTAAAGTTTGCCACAAGCCACCTGGGAGACACACCAAACATGTGGAAGAAGGTGCTCTGGTCAGATGAAACCAAAATTGAACTTTTTGGCAACAATGCAAAACGTTATGTTTGGCGTAAAAGCAACACAGCTCATCACCTTGAACACACCATCCCCACTGTCAAACATGGTGGTGGCATCATCATGGTTTGGGCCTGCTTTTCTTCAGCAGGGACAGGGAAGATGGTTAAAATTGATGGGGAGATGGATGGAGCCCAATACAGGACCATTCTGGAAGGAAACCTGATGGAGTCTGCAAAAGACCTGATACTGGGACGGAGATTTGTCTTCCAACAAGACACTGATCCAAAACATAAAGCAAAATCTACAATGGAATGGTTCACAAATACACATATCCAGGTGTTAGAATGGCCAAGTCAAAGTCCAGACCTGAATCCAATCGAGAATCTGTGGGAAGAACTGAAAACTGCTGTTCACAAACGCTCTCTATCCAACCTCACTGAGCTCGAGCTGTTTTGCAAGGCGGAATGGGCAAAAATTTCAGTCTCTTGATGTGCAAAACTGATAGAGACATACCCCAAGTGACTTACAGCTGTAATCGCAGCAAAAGGTGGCGCTACAAAGTATTAACTTAAGGGGGCTGAATAATTTTGCACGGCCAATTTTTCAGTTTTTTATTTGTTAAAAAAGTTTGAAATATCCAATAAATTTCGTTCCACTTCATGATTGTGTCCCACTTGTTGTTGATTCTTCACAAAAAATGACAGTTTTATATCTTTATGTTTGAAGCCTGAAATGTGGCAAAAGGTCGCAAAGTTCAAGGGGGCCGAATACTTTCGCAAGGCACTGTATCTCTTTATTAGCTCAGCTGATCCAATGTAGCTTTAATCCAACATCAGAAGCAGGCTGTCAGCACCTGGCTCAACAGTGAGCCAAGCCTAGCCTTCCCTGTCATATGTACCGTATATGCTTTGCTTTTATTACTCCAGCAGCAGAGAGTGCCTCATACCATCATATAACATTTGATAGTATGTGAGTATCTCTTTATTTTTGCTGGAGGCTAAGTTAACCGTTAGCACGAGGTTAACTGTAGCAGTGAGCCAAACATGGTGTAGAAAGTACAGGGGAAAAGCAACCTTTGGAAAAAAATCTCTACCTTGCTTATAGATAATTATTTTTAGTGTTTTTCAAAGTAAAAGGTTGTTTTTTTACTGACTGATAAATTGTGTTTGTGACCATATAAATATCAATCCGACACCATTAAGTACTCATGACTGAGGAGGAGTACTGCCACCTCACCACAAAGTATTTAGAGGCTCATTTCATTTAAAACTCCCTTCACTGTTCTGTAGGTGAGGCTTGTAGTGACTAAGACGTCTCGCCTGCTGTTTAGCCTCTCTTCCTCTTTCCTGCTCTCCTCTCCCCCTCTCGTTTGTTCTTGCTGTGTCCATCATTAGGCAAGAATAAAGGAGAGCATTATGAGGCAGGCCTGGCACCAGGGCTTCAGGACCATTACAACGCCCAGAGCCCTGTCCTCTCAGAGCCAAGAGTAATTACACCACAGCACAAGATTTTGATGTTTTAATTACTGTGACATCAGCTTCACAAACTACACCGTTAAAGGTAACACAGGTGAACAGCGTGGGCAGTGACAGTTTAATATCACCACCTGTAATTCTGGTGATGAGTTAATAAATGTCTTAATCAACCATAGGCTGTTCTACAAAGCTGACAGTAAACTCAAGCCTATTTATCCATCCTCTTAGCCTAGTCCAGCCACCATGATTCCCAGCTCCTGAGCCAAGTGCCTCTATTGGCCAGTCAGTCCCAGGTGAGGTAAGGTGATTCACTACTAAACAGGATCTGTTTTCAGTTCTTTATCACAAGTGGGGCCAAGGTGTCCAGGGAGAGACCAGGGAGCTTTGTGTTGTTAATGGCCAGACAGTGTCCTCAGTGACTCGAAGGAGAGCGAAGACAGGCCATTTGTTGCTCTGGAGCCTTTTAATTGCATGGCCGATTCATCGGCAGTACTGCACCTCAGCCTCTGACAGCACAGTTATCGGAGCTAAAGAAAGGAGCAGCATGACTTCACTGGAAAGAGGAACTGGATCAGATCCAGAAGGAAGAACGCCACATCTGAATGAAATTTGAGTCTTTTTGGCTGCTTTTAACCCTCCCCATGTTAAAAAGCCAAACCGATCTTAACCCTGGTTTTCGCTCTCTTTGTCTCGCTCTCTCTGCACAAAAGACGTCACCTCTTCACTCTGGCAGCCACAGTTTGAGACGTTTAGCTGCCGAGAGCTCGTCCATGACTGGCTGTTTGAAATGACTGCTCACTGTTCAAAACCCACTTCTTATGACCTTTGCTAGATGGCAGGCGGGGCGAATCAGATTGAAGCAGGGGGGAAACAGAGAGAGGAACCTGACAGAGACTCCCAAACATAAATAATCAATTCATAAATGAGCAAATACTGCGTGTTATATTTTTTTAAAAATTGCCTGTTGTGGAGGCAAGGCAGGGGGTCTCATTGGCATGGGGGCCACTGGATCACTTTGAGATTAACCATGTGACAACTATGGACAACAGTGTGATTAGTCGCAATTCGACATTTTAATTGATTGACGGCACAATTTTATATCCCTGAAGTATAGATGAAGGCATCCACTACTTGACTTGCTGGTAACCTATGATTCATGGAGCTGTGGAAAGACTGGGATGCTTACTTGACTCTGAAGTAAATGCTGCACCTAAAGCAGCTTCCAGAGGGAGTAGGAAAATCAATTGGACCTCTATTTCATGGCTACCATAACTGGTACTGACGGAGAGCGCACCTGCACATCCCCACCCCCACAGAATGCTGCTCTCACACACACACACACACACACACACGCTGTGTTTTAATTCTTTGTGGGGACTTTACATTGACCTACATTCATTTCCTGTAGACTTATCCTAACCTTAACCATAACCACCACTTGCCTAACACCTGACCCTAATATTAACCTAACCCTAGCCTCAGACAAGCCACATGCTATATTAGGCAGCAGAGAGAAAAATAATTTTTCTTACTGACATTTATGTTTAGCCATTTTAAAATGAAGTTTTAACTTCATTTTAAGCAGGCATGTAGCAGAGAGTCGAGACACAAACACAGCATGTACACATACCTGCAAACACAACCATATACAAACAAGCTGCAGACACAGTGACAGAGATACTGTGCACATACAAACATGTCCACATGTAAGCATGCACACACCTTCCTTTACTCTACAGAGGTTTATAAAAATCTCCCCACACAGACACATTCACTCACAGCCTGAGCCCACTCAGCTCCCAGGAGGACCCCTGCTCCCCTCTGACAGCCATCTGTAAGCAATCTAAGCTCATTACCTATCTCTTTTTCTCTCTCCTCCTCCCCCTTTGCCCCCCTCACCCACAGTGATTGATGAGTGAGCAGTCCATCCCTTGCACAGCAGTACACTGTCCCTGCAAATGCTGTACAACACACACCTGCAGAGACAGTTCAGTTATAGCTTGGTTGTAACTTAACGTTGGCACATTCTCATATATTATTAGTGTGGAGGTGGTGTACAGCTGCTGTACATTAAAGTTATTGCCTATTTTTACTTATTTGCAGTGATAACATTAGTTTTACATTGCATTTTAAAATAGTAGTGACAACACACTAGGTGGCAGAAGCTACACTGCTAAACTATAGTTATTTTTATTTTTGCTAAAGCAGGATAAGGGAATCAACAAACAGCAGGCTGATGAAATAGTACATTTGTTTCATGCTGGTGAGATGTAGTTAAGGCAGCGGGTTTTAGTGGAAGAGAAAAGTCCCGCTGCAGAAGATCTGCATATACGCACACCTATGCACACAAAAATACATAGAGCATTGACGTGTGCGCTGAAGGGTTTGACTGATGAAAACAAACTGGGCTCAGACATGCAGAATCCAACAGCAGGAGTTTTAACAAATTAAGCTATGAGTACATCTGCATGCTTGATGATAAAATGGCTAAACAGTGAATGTATTTTCTTTTTCGCCCCCCTTCCCTCTCTTGCCTGTCTTTCTGTTCCCAGTAGGTCGTCTGGTGTGAGAAGACAAGGACGCAGAAGCTGAGACGAGAGCAGAGGGCACATAGGGAAGGCATCTGTACGCTTGCTGACAGGAAAGAGAAAGATGGAGCAGAAAAATTAAGAAGTTCCTGAGTTTAGAACAAGAAAAGAAATGAAGCAACGCCAAAATATTTGCACTTTCTCCTCCCGGTGTTTGACATGTTATCTGTTTATAAGTGTTTTTTGTGTATTTCTCTCTTTGGGGACTGAAAAGACATATTTGTCGAGAGATGACAGGCACATTTTCCTTTGTGTTCAGTCACTGCTGTGATTTGTTCTGTTCTTATATAACTACAGGCACAATCGCTCACATTTTCTGGCCATTAAATGAGACTTGCATGCCCGCTAGTAGCATGCATGTTGTCAGGCCAGTGGCAACCTGCTAACGAGAAGCTTGCAGTACATCGAATTGCATTCAGCGTTGCACGATTCTTGATACACACACTTTTAAAGGAAGAACTATGGCAACACAGAACAATTCAGATTACTTGGTAAAGCTGCATGTGAACATGTAATATTAAGTGAACATATTAGAATTAAACCGTGACCATGGAGTCTAATTTATCAGCACAGAATTAGCTGTAGGAATCCTCTTGCACTGTACAGACATTTTATAGAAACATTAATATTTTGGATGAAGAATCAGATGTTTGTGAACGAAGTCTGACATGATGCATCTGGTTTTTGTTCAGGATATACCGATGTTGGGGAAAACTAGCTGTGATTAAGTAACTACATTACTTAAAAGTACTTCTTGTGCAACCCATAACTACTGCAAGACTATTGTCTTGTATGCAGTTTGTAGTTTCCTCAGTTATCACATGCCTTAGCATTTTATTATTGTTCTACATGCTTACAAAATATGTGGTAAAAAATTAAATTTTAGGGAAAAACTTTTCAAAAAGCAAACTAACAGATTGAAAAATGTCTAAAACACATTAATAACAAAGGTGACGTGAGTACTTTTAAAGCCTATACATCACCCCAACACTTGTACAGCACATACACAGTCTTAGCAGTAAACAGGACTCATGCAGTACTCAGCAAGTGGGGTATTTCTACATACCTATAGTACATGGAAGTAACAGTACATTAATGAATTTTTGACTGTTAAGGGTGATAGGAGCACTCCAAAGCTGGAGACACGCAACCTTGAAATATTACTGCTTTTTAAAAAGTTGTTCCGGCTGACGTGAGCAACTTTGTCGTCCTACCCCGAGTCCAATATTCACTCTCCTTTAGCTCTACTTTGGTTTGGTTTAGCTAATTGTTCCACTATGTTCACCAGCTAGTAGGGCTGTCACCTTTTCCAAAAGTCATGTTTCAATGACATTCGAGCGGAAATTTGTTTGAATTAATTAGAATGTGCACCCCCCACCCTCACCCCAAACTGCCCAAAAGAAAAAATTATAACTGATAATTACCTATCCAGCAAAAGTACAGCCACTATGTCGTCACTTTTCAGCCACTTGCCATCGTACAAAAACCACACTGGTGTTAAATCTGGTTTTACTTCTTGTAGCATCCAACTTCTTTTTAGTTTTAACTTTCCTGAATAAGGCCTGTGTTTGCAACCTAAAGCTGCTGTGGGTAATGTGTCTGACTGCCTGGCCTTGTGAGAGACTCTTGGCTTGTGCAATGAGTGCACGGGCAGAGTGTGCACAAGTAGGAAGTTTGGTTAACAGACAGGTAGACCAGCCAATTGTTTTGCTCAGGCCGAGTAAACTTAGTCAGGCTTTGTTCAGCCCTGCTGCTGCCATGGATGATGGAATTCTGTCTTTATGTTGTCAGTGCATTTAAGGTATTCACTGACATTGGGGCAAAAAGAGAATTTCAAGAAATGTAACAAAAAATGTTTCTGAAATGAATCACTGACACTACCTTTAATAAGTTGATCAGTGATCATGAGTTCATCACCTTCAACTGGTTAACAAACTGAACCCACATTAACAAATGTCTGACCCCCTGGTAGTGATTCTATTTTTCCAAAACAAATTACAGTTCAGGAAATGGCCGACGTGTTCATAATAATACCAGGAAAGTGGTAGCTAAGGCCGACCAGTAAAGGTAAATAAGCAAGATGTTTACCAGGACAAGTATTCAATTAACAAAAGCTCATTTCAGCTGTCATGGTCACATTTATCCCTGTTATCGTAAACAATATGTGGCATTTTCAAATCCCAGTTCCTAAAATAAATATTTGATTCTTCCCAGTAATATCAGAATACAAGCCGTGTACTGTATGTAAACACATCCATTGTCTTTCCACCAACAGCTGATTCTAGTCCTGCTCTGTGAAACACTTCCCACCACACATACTTGGAGCTTTTCCACTTTATATAAGACAGTGGAATAAGACAGAATGTCCCCCGGGGTGTTTGATTAACAGGACAATGACTGAGCATGAGGAACAACATTAGAGAGAGAGAGAGCGAGAGACCTTATTGTCAAGTTGTGGATTGTAAAAAGTAAAATTTCTTCCTCACATATGGGAACAATTGAGTTTAAAAACTGGAGAATCACAAGTTTGCTGTTGAGGTCTGAATGCTTGTGCATTTGTTTTGAGTTGTGTATTTCTTAGGATTTTCCCAGGAGTCACTGCAGTGGCTCATGAACATGAAACAAAAAAGGCTCCTGTTGTAAATATGTACAATAATAATAGTTTGTTTTACTAAATTCACTGATGGGCATATGGGTGTTTTTTTTTTTATTTACTGTCATTCTGTCCTATTGTACAAGAAACATTGCATCACGTTTGTCTTGTCAAACATTAGGCTGTTACAGTAGCTAATTAACAACAGTGAAATGCTTAGACCAAACTGTATGTTATCAGTTCTGACCACTGTTTATTTAATCTGTGGAGGGGTTATGTGACTATTTCAGCTTGTGTTTTACGATTCCTGTCATCACCACTACACTCGGTCAAGAATGTATACAGTATCTGGTGCTTATTCCACGTTGATCACAAAACCAGTCGTGTTTAATTTGAAGTGAACAGTCGTGCCAAGACTGAGAACAGAACCCTTTCTTTCTTAGAGGTCTGTGGCGTCTCTGTTGAGTGCCTGCCCCGGTCCTAGTTTGAACACTGGGCTTGTGTGTGTGCTGCTGAAGTGATTCCAGACGCTGTCAAGCTGCAGATTACATGCAAGATCTAAAACAACCTAACAGGCTAGTAATCACTGCTAATCACGGTGGAGGATGTATAATGAAGGAGACTTACAAACGACAGTCTGACAGCGAGAAGCTCTTGCTTCTCTCCACTGTAAACCCCCAACAGGCTAGTGAACATCTCAACATGTTCTGACAATATCTCTCATTCATAGCCAAAGAAAGATCTGTTGGGGGGGAAAAACACTGAGGTGTGTCGTCTTTGGGTGAAACTGGCCAAAGTAAATTAAGGTATAGCTGCCTCTGCAATGAAAACTGACGTGCCTCTCCACTGTAACACCGGCCTTAATTCCTGAGAAACTTAAACCTGTGGCGCAGAAGGAAAAAGGAGTCTTGGAATCGACAGTGATAAAATGTTGGAGTTTATGAAGTGCATCTTGGCATGCAGCAGTAGCTTTCACCTGGGTTGTATCAATCTTTTGAGCTGTTCCCACCTGAAGTGTGATGTAAATTTAAAGCAGCTGTAATGAGAAAAAGCTCTATATAATGCCTTACATTCTGAACAACTGAAAAACAAACCAAATCACTTAACACCTCAGCACCTGTGAAAGTATTTTTAAAGCGTGTTAATCATAAAACAGATTTTTTTTAAACCACCATAATTGCACATGCATAAAACAAAAATGAATGGCAACAACATGAAACTGATCCTGATGCTGTTTTATATCACATCTATTCAAACTATGCTCAGTCTGGACCTCTTGCAGAGGGAAAGCATTAAGAGCTGGAACAGAAGTCCAGCTCTCTGAGGGGAAGAAGAATACTGGCCCCTGCTGGTGAAGATGTGCCACTGCAGGCTGCAAGCTCACCCTTGTTAGCCAGGTCTACACGTGCACACACTGTACTAACAGCATCAGTCAATCCGATTGAATTTCATGGACTTGCAATAAATATTTTTTAAAGTTATGTCTTGAAATGCTCTTAATTTCACCGAGTGCTCATGCCACTGTGACGCGTATGTTTTAATCATGTTTGGTAAAAAAAAAATTACAATAAATTGGCAGATATCATTATTAACAATGACTAAAATTGGACTCTGTAGTCGCTGTATATAAATAAATTCTCCATTGAATGTCAGAAGATGCACTCCGTTTGGCCTGTTGATTTAAAAACAACAATGTGGTGTGCGATGTTCTGATATAGTGTTGTGACATCTAAGGTACAGATGCTATAAGTGTATGATGGGAGGCAGAGGGCTTTGGGGTGAGGATGCTGGTGATGGGGGTGGTTGGAAGATGGGCGGGGGAAGCAGGGAAGGCAGAGAGGGTTGTATCACAGATGAAATTGGAGCCAAGAGGCAGCTGCAGTACATCTGTCTTGTACCGACACATGTGGCATTTGACTTCCAGTGTGAAGTTCAAAAGAGCTTCATAATGACGCAGCTGCTTAGGGATGTGTGTGTGTTTTTGAGAAGGTGTGTGTGTGTGTGTATTTTCCCCTTTGCTAGAAATGGGGTGGAGGGTAGTCAAAGGGTTTCATGGGTAAAGACTGGAATTTGGGGTTTTGAAAGTGGCATGTGGGCAAGTACAGGTGTTGCATGCTGTTTTATATATGCTTTTATATTCAATTGTTTTCAATTTGCAAAGCTGGGGGGGGGGGGGTGCTGCTTGTCCAATGTTAAGAACAAGGAGATAGTACTATTTATAAATTTTAATCTAAAACCTTCTTATCCATTAACGACATGAATATAAGTATTCAATATTTGCTATTTTCTGACATTTTAGATGATAAATAAACCAAATTTGTGTATTTTTTCCATTTTTTTTCATTTGTCACCATTTCTGATGCACCTTAACTGAATGTAAATCCATGATTATAAATAAATGAGTAACAAATACATGTACTGTACAATCGGCATTGGAAGACTGATACAACCAAATAATTTTTTGTATCTTTTTTTTCATCTTGTACCAAATTCTTTATAAATAACAGGGATAATAAGAAGTGTGACATATTAGCTTGTGGAGGAGTTGTCCAGTGCACAGGCCTTCTATTTTACACTTATGCTTCAGTAGAGATGAGTGTTGTTGCGTGGTTTTATACGTCTTTGTGCACACTGAAACACTTAGATCAAAAACACCATTACAGGTAATTAGCGAGGACCATTAGCTTGTGTGATAGCTAAACATTAGCGTGCGGTGAGGGTGACGGTGCATACTGCTCACAATTTGTGCCTGATACTCTCTGCGCCTGCAGCACCACCTGCCCGGCCGCCCCAGTGCTGGGTCAGAGGGTTAACTGCCAGGAGGCCAGGGCTCAGGGGTCAGAGGTCATGTTTCAGAGAGGCGTATCCATATGCTGATTGAGAGCTCAGCTGCACGAACAGAGCCTGCAGGTGGACAATGTATGTTACCCCCCTAATGTTAACTATTCTTTCCTGTGTTTTTTTTATTTTTTTGGGCTCATAATGTGCTGAGAGAATATCTAGTCCTTTGGGTTTAAGGTATTTATTTTGGATGGACTTCCATTTGCATTTCCACTTCCATAAACACATGAAACTGAGCAGGGGGGCATGCTGAACAAAAATCCCAGTGTTCTTTTAGTGAATTTGTTAATGAGATCTACAAACAAAGTTTTATTTTAGGTAATTTCTCTTCTTTGAGGACCAAACTCACAAAAGGTAAAGCACATGTGAGCTCTAAATATTTGAAACATGTTACTTCTACAACATGACATCTATCAGTTGACTGGAAAATGGCTGTGTATAATTAAGGCAGCTAATAATAATAAAAATAATGCCAATAAGGATGACCCCATCATCAGCTAAAAACAAGGCATATAAAACTAAAGTAAATTTAGGCACTGTAAGACTCAATAAGAGGAAAATACAGGATAGGTTGTGTGTTGCATACGATTTCCTGTTTAAAAAAGTCAAAGGTTAAAATATAAGTCCACATAAACACAAAACACACAGAGCCACATACACAAATCTTTAAGAACATCGTGAACGTCAACGACCAGATTATACAAACACACACATCAGGCCAAGGCAGCTTCAGCCCTTTCATGATTTTTTTTGCTCATTGTCTCTTTGATCGGGAACAGCCTGGATGTGGAATCGTTAATATGTGCTTGATGCTCCTGTCACTACTCCAAGATAAACATATCTGGAAAACCGATGCATCCAGAGCCTGTGCATACAGGCTGCACTACAGCAGGGAACATTTCAGGCTAAAACAGGATCGCTGTCACAGTGAGATGAGAAAGATAAAAGGGGAAGTGCATACAGACAAACACACAAATACACAGTGTACAGTCATGTGAAAAAATTAGTAAAATTTTTTATATATGGTTATTTAATCTCAATTTTAACAATACAGAGAGATTAAAGTAATACAACTAAACAATTAAAACTGAAGAAAAGTCTTTTCAAGATCTTCTGTAAATGTAATTCTACAAAAATGCCTATTCTAACTGAGGAAAAAGATAGCACACCCTCACATGTATGCCCTCTTAAAATGGCTCAAATCACACATCTTGCAGGTCGTTTTGCGGTGCGTGACATGCGTCAGACTGTGGCTGTCGGTGTGATTAAGGGTGTGGAGAAGAAGGTCTCCACCACTGGTAAGATTACCAAGTCTGCCCAGAAGGCCCAGAGGAACAAATGAATGTTGTGCTACTCTGCCAACCCCAAGGTCTCCCAAGGCAGGACATCAGTCATCCAACTCCATCCAACAATTGGCTTCTTCAACTTAATAATCAAAGACTGGTTAATCATCACAATGCATCGCAAAAGCATTCGAAGGAAAGAAAAACATGTAGACACATGAGGTGGCACTCCTGACTCCATTTCCGTGGTTAGATTACCATTACGTACAATGTAATATCAAATGGTTTTAAATGTGCACTGTTGCTTTAGTTCATGGCAATACCTTTCTGTGATATTGAGACATTGAAGAATTAGAGGTACTGTAATTTATTACCTCTCTAGATCTCTGGAGTGCAGGTACAGGTCTCTTTACGTGGTATACGTTGTCTTGCTTTTAGTGTTTGTTTGCAACTACATGGTGCTCTGTAGGAGCCTATGGAAAGAAGTTCAAACTATGTTCTTCTGAGTAGTAGACTGTAGAAGTTAGTGATTTGTTGTGTTTAAGCTTTAAAAAGCACTTAAAACAAATGGTCCAAACTTCCCTCTTTTGAGAGACTGATTAGACCACAAATGGATTCTTAAAGCACTTTGATTGGCATTTTGCTGAGTTTGCACTTGAACTGAGGAAGTTTAAATTGGCATAAGCTACTGCACCTTATAACATGGCATGAGCCTTTTTGCAACATTAAACATGTTCCAACCAAAATGATTTTGTCATTTTGCTGTGACTGAAGCAATATGGCAGCAGATGCCTTAAACTTGTCAATCCTATAAAATGAATTTCATAAAGTAGTTCCTTACAGTACACACTTTTCTCCACAAGATGTAGCCAACAGCTCAAGGCCAGTCTGCCAAGAGGGTGTGCTATCTTTTTCCTCAGTTAGAATAGGCATTTTTGTAGAATTACATTTACAGAAGATCTTGAAAAGACTTTTCTTCAGTTTTACTTGTTTAGTTGTATTACTTTAATCTCTCTGTATTGTTAAAATTGAGATTAAATAACCATATATTAAAACATATTAAAATACTTTTTTCACGACTGTATATAAAGTATATCATTTACCCTAGTCTTGCCTGTTAATGCCTCGAGGCTCTAAATCAGCACAGCACTGTGTGACCTTTGAAAGCACCCTGCAGTATTTGTCAGATTTTGTGATGTGCACTTAGGTAGGAATGAAACATTATTTTCATGATTAACTGTTTCAGTGTTTTGTTTTTAAAGTAGTGAGAAGATTCTCTCACAACTTCCCTGAAGCCAAAGTCATGTCCTTATGCTGCTGCTGACATGCACATTTATCTTTGTGGTTACAATTTAATTTCTCTAAAACTAATTATATTCAGTGAATTATAAGAATTCAGTTCTGGACAAGAAGAAGGTTTCTTTTCCAAAGAGGTAAAAAACCATTCATGAGATTTGTAGACTCCATCATAACTACTACTAGCATGCTACAAACACCTGCATGCTAACACTACAAACAATGGTGGAAAAACCTCATGAGGATCATGAATAAATGAGATATTTATGCTACTGCAGTACAATTAGGATGTTACACCACAGTATAATAGTCTAACAGCCTGTTTTCTTTGCTTTTATTTTAATCTGTCCCCAATATAATTATAAACTGTGGCTTAAAGTTTAAAGTTGCAAAATAAATTCCTTTAATAATTCTTTTTAGTTTTCAGAATTCAATGTCAGTTGAAGGATTTCCTACACTTGTACGACTTCCCATAAAGTATCTTGGCTTTATAAAACTATCTCAACAGTAGTTAGAAAAACTCAGAAATACACTGCACTGTAATTGATTTTCTTAGTTCCTATAAAGACAGCTGGACATATGAGGTGTTCCCTTGACAGCTTAGTGTTCCTGAGATATCCATTTCAGTGAACACCATCACAGTACACAGACAAAGTAGCGCACAACTCTCCACAAGCACACACGGGTGCACAGCTAAAGCATGTGTTACAGTGCTGTGTTATTCCCAAATGCCTACTTAGTGATCTATATGGAAACAAGTTACTGTTTGGCACCGACCTGGGAACAGCTATGTTGTCTCCAACATAGCTAATAGGAGGTCTGTCTGCAGACGAGAAACTGATCCACAGTCAGTTAGAACTGAGGATGTCAATCAGCTGTTCAGTGAGAACCAGAGGAGGCCTGTGGTTGCTATCCTGTCAGCTCTGTCTCAAATTCACCAGTCAGGTGTGATTTCATCACTGGATTCGCTTCTCCAGTGTGTGCGTGTGTGTAGGTGTGTGTATAGTGTCCAACAGTCGTGTGTTCACTCAGGAAAACGGACATAATCATATCTGAAACTCGGGGGACGAAGAAGGGATCAAGGTACGACCCTCAATTTTTAGAGAAGCATATTTATATATAGATGATATTGATAGCTATTGATATGTAGACACAGATACGAGGTCTTAATTATCTGTACACTGCACAACATCTACAGAAAATTTGTCAAGGCTGCACCGGGTTTCTACTTTCTTCATTGATATTTTTGGACCTGCAATCTGCTTTACTCCAGATCACACAAGTTAGCATGAGGAGGATGAGAAACTCATACTGGACATACAAACATAGGAAGTATATCATTTTACTAACAGGTTAGATTTTTATATGCACATTATAGCTTCATCTCCTTTCTCATAAAAATATGTTGTGTATCCTGAAGCTTATATTTTGTATCCACTATGCATATCTCTACCTGGATTATCGAGTTTGGGCATTTTAAAAATTGATGTTGATAATTACCACCAGGGAAAAACCGATCCCGTCTCTAGGTAAAATAACAAAAACATTTCTCACAGAAGTTGCTGAGATATTTAAAATTATCGGTGTGAAATGAGTTATACCTAACTAAATGTTTTTTGTCTTCTGGCTGTTATATCATATGTAAACGTCCTATACTTCTATACATTAAATCTGGCATCATTCAGGTTTCCACAGAAGAAAATAAATGCACCTACATCTTGAGGGAGCGATACCCCATCTCACCAAAACAAATGGCGCCCCAGGAGGTTTGCTTGTTTTAATTCTTTTTATACAAACAAACTGTCAGAAACATAGAGCACTAATGCTCACTTGTGGTAATTAGAATTCTGGACATCATGCCAGTGTGTGAACATACTGCTGTTCCTGCCATGCTTGACCTTTACAGTCACAGGTTGCTTATGTTGGGGGAACCAGTGAGATTAGCAATTGAGCTGACGTCACAGGTTTAAGTCTGTGAAAGAGTTAGGAGTCATGATTTTTAAGAGTTACTTACCTGTTATTTGTTATCTGACAGGGTTAACTAGTTTTTACTGAAGACAAGTTAAAAAGTAAAGAAATAAATGTCGCTTACCACAACACTGTTGCTGTGCAGAGCCATCTGACAGCCACACTCCTGACCTCCATCCTGGCAGCGGTGCTCGGCTCCCTGCACCACACCGGCAACATCAACGCTCCAGCCAGAGTGAGCAGAACCGACAGGAGCTGTGGGGGAATATGACATCAAGTTCACTGATACTGACAACAGTAGCTTAGCTCCAGTATTCCTCGTTTCTCATTTATTACAATTTTCCTGCCATCTTTAGTGTTAGAAGTACTGTATATTTGTGCATATACTGTCTCAGCGAAGAAACAGAAATTCATTCATTTGAAATAATAGTACTAAATAAATATGCATATGCACTGAACAAGACTATCAAACTGTAAAATGGAACCACCATTCACAACAGACAACCCAGTCTTTCTAATACTAGGCCTAACAAAACTGAATGCTCAGGCTCAGCTGGACTTTGCTTTTCCACAGGTAGATGACATTAAGCTGTCACAAGTGAGGCAGAACTTTTATATTCAGCCTTACACAAACCCTCTGATTTCCTACATTTCTCATAACACTGGACAACACTAAAACCTGCCCAAATGAACTTGTACAATCTTGACATCGGAGGTAGAGCCGTTCCATTTCAAAAGATACAACACATAACTGGTTTAGATAGTTTTTTCTAGTCTTTATGCAAAAAAAAAAACAGACCATTGTAAGACCTTGTGTATACTGATGCAGACTGTCTCTGTTTACCATTGCTCAGATCATCGAAGAGTTTTTCAACCACACCTGGAGAGGCAGACACAACCAGTCGATGCCGGATCACAGCCTGACTCTCCTGTGGTCACTCTCTGTCAGCATTAAGGACTTTGGAGCCTTGCTGGGCTCGCTGGGGGTAAAATATGTGGCTGATTCTTACGGCAGGTAAGAAGGGCGACAGAAGCACTCTTTAAGTATTATTACATCATTGTCTCTTCATTTGCATCGCCTTCCCCTCCAGGCGGAACTCCATATTAATAGTCAACTGTCTGTCTGTGGTGGGAGCATGTCTGATGTCTGCCTCCAAAGCCAGCGAGTCATTTGAGGTTCTGATTCTGGGACGGTTGGTGTTCGGTCTTTTCTGCGGCCTGGTGATGAGTCTTAATCCCCTCTACATCCAGGAAGTGTCCCCTACCAATCTGAGAGGGGCCTTCGCTACACTCAACCAGGTGTCCTTTGCCTCTGGCATCCTAGTGGGAATGGTGAGCACAGAGCTGGAAATCTTCTGTTCTGACTGAAAAAGTAGTCGGAGGGTAATTGGGTCTCTTCAAGCTTGTTGGAAGTCAGAGTGAATGCAACCTTAGACAATGACAGTGACATCCATACATAACAAGGTACAGCGACTGTGGGTCACCCAGCAGTTGGTCCAGGGCACTTTTGTTTGTTTTATTGTTGACCTTACTTTCTTAGGAGTTGCATGAAGAGCTGGTCAGTATTTTAATGTGCTGACAAGGCATGATTAGCTTGATTTATTACTATGCTATCAAACACACCTTGTCATTTTATCCTGATTAGGTCTCAGCTCAATGTTTGTATTTTTTGGCTTTTTGTGTGATTGAGGATTTTGTTTAGGTATTAAATTGTAATTAATCACCTGCTGTGATAAACAGTTCATACCAGAAACTAAAAACATTTGACAATCACTCTTACCACTGTTAACTTCTTTTGCAAAAACAAAGGCAGCTTTTTAAATCAACAATAACTTAATTTATCCTTAAAGAGAAGCAGGTATTACGTGACACTGTCAAACAAAGCTCTTGTTGGTGGCTACAGGTGGCTGGTCTGGAGACAGCACTGGGTACAGAGCATTACTGGGCCATGATGCTGTCCCTGTCCCTCATCCCGGCCTTGGCACAGTACATGGTCCTGCCTTTCTGCCCCGAGAGCCCTCGATACCTGCTCATCAACCAGGGAGAGGAGAACAAGGCCGAGGCTGGTGGGTCCCACTGACTCTAGTGTTTTAACCACAAAGCCTGACAGAACTGGTCCCACTGTTTCCATTCTAGTCATTAAGCAGGAGTTATACTGTATGATAAGGATCTGTCGGAGGTTTCTTCAGTTAAAGGGACTTTTTCCTCCTCACTGCTGCCAAGTGCTTGTTCAGGGGGATTTGTTGGGCTTTCCCTTTAATACTGTAAGGTCTAGACCTGACTATATAAAAAGTCTTGAGATGACTTTTGTTGTAATGTGATATTATACAAATAAAAGTGAATTGAATCAAAACATGGAAATATTTTAAAACATTGATCTTTGTGGATGCACTACACTATGGCAGCTTTTTACAAGAAGCTGTTGTTTTAACCCTGCAGCCCTGCTGAGGCTGAGAGGCAGCGCAGACAAGGTGCTTGCTGAGCTAGAAGAAATGAAGGAAGAGGCCGCCCATACTCAGAGCAGAGTCACCATCTCTGAGTTTGTCAAAAAGCGCAGCTACAAGCAGCCAATCATCATCATCTTCGTCGTCAACTTGGGCAGCCAGCTGTCCGGATCCAACGCGGTCAGTCATGTGTCAAATGCGTGGCCTTTATGGTGCTAAAACTAAGGTCTGCATAAAGTGTGGCTCAGTTTTTAGCACGACTTGCTTACGAACTGTTAAATACTCAGCTACAGCTTGGTAGTTAAATAAAGGACTCAACCTCAGCGTTTCTCTGCAGCCTCCACTCAGATTCTGGGGCTGTGTGCCAGTAATTCACTAAGCTAAACTAAATTCCTGCTCTTTTCATCTAGATCATTAATTATTCCACCAGAATGTTCCAGGCCAAGTTTGATGAGG